CCTGGGGCCTACGAAGACTAAAAGGGCCTACGAAAAATGCTTCAAGTTTTTTTCGTTTGTATGATAAAAAAAATATATCTTCTTGAAAAAATATTTATATTGCAAGCATAGGCCACAGTGTTTAAAATTAAAGCTGCTTGTATAACCGCGGTACGCAGCGCGCTACCATCGAATTAGGGCACAGACTAAATAGTGAATCTATCGGTGGTGGTACTAACATGAACGGTGGTAATGACATGGGCAGCAGCAGCAGTTCCAACCTTTGTAAAGTTATCACCGAAGGCCTACGAAACAAGTTCATGGGGCCGACGAGAATATGCAATTAATTCACCGATTCCTCCAACGGTTATCGGCGGTTCGATGGCACGGTTAATCGGATAGCAAACGAAAATAGCTGGGAGAAAATATCAAGTCTTCATCTCCGTTTCCCACGTGTGCCGCTGGACGGCAGACGACGGACGCGGCTTGGTAACGTCATTGGAATCATTGTCATCATCAGCCAGGATTGCGTGGGGTGTGGCTTGTTAAGTGGGGGTAGGGGGGGGGGTCCCATCTTCGGAGACAATTTGTATCAAGGCGATGTAGAAAAACTTGGGAACTGAAAAGGACGAAAGCAGAAAGGACTTACGTACTTGCAAAATTGCAAACGCGTTGTGCTCCGAACGCTCCCCCATCGGCTTCTGCGCCGAAAATTAAATAAAGAACAAAAATAATGCTCGATAAGCGTGAGGTCGAGAATGTCAAAAATAAGAATAGGTTTTGACCTTTCTGCCGATAAAAACAGGAGTTGTGTTAACATGTTCAAACACCAGATACCTTTCGTGCAAGGCATCAAAAGTCTGCACTCGCCACACACTACTTGTGGCAAAACATGCAAACATGCTCCGATAACAATAATGTACGCATTGTCTTTTAAACCGATTGGCCGACGGCAGAGACAGTGGCCCTCTTTTACGGCCTTGTCTCACCACCAGTGGTAAACCAGGGAACGCCAAAAGGCGTCCCACATGGATCAGGGCTGCGATGTTGGTGGCCTGTGTGGTGAGATTGGCGGCGACCGGTATTATATTATAGGTCAGTGGTTCTTCTTCACCTGGGGTGCACGCTGCACCCCCTGGAGGTGCGAGAAGCCCTTTCTGGGGGCGCGAGACATGTGGCCAGATTTGTTTAAGGTAAATGATCGATACACAAATTAAGCACGGGTACGGAAATACAATTACTTTGTTTCATAAAAACAGATGTTTTTATTAACGTCGTACATTTTTTTTTTTACGATTGAGAACCAAGGCTGCAGTAAAGGTTAAGGACCGCTGGCCTAGGGGCGTTGTATTTGATTTAGTTGAGAAACAAGTCAAGTGACAATTCCTGGGCATAGCAACAAGCGCTCGGCCACCTCCCTCAGCAGCCAATCAAATAGCCGAGCTGCAGACGAGCTGGAGCCGTCAGTCATCGAACACCGTGGAGGGCGTGGGGGGGTGTTCCCAGGGCGGAGGGGGTCATTGTGGCCATGCCGGGTAGCCACTGAGGCCGGGCACCGCTGACATTGTGGGTTCGAGTCCGGGATTCAGCCGCCCGCCCGACCAACCGCTGGGCCGAGTGTGATGGATCCCGACCCCGGGTTACCAACGGCTCGCGTAAGAGTCCACATCGACTGGCACAGAGACCAGCGAACTAACACGGAGAGCCGAAGAAGCAAAGTCTCGCGCACAAAATGAGTTGCGATTAAACAAGGTTTCTCAATTGTAGCGAGTTTGCTACAATTGAGAAACACGTGGGGTTTTAGTACGGCAACATTAGAATTAATAATATATTTTTCGGTCACGCCACAATAATCTGGCAACAAAAAAAGTGTTGTCGCAAGACCCTCCGACACAACGTTAACGCTGCCAACAATTCAAATATTCAGAAATGCAACCTCAATTGTAAAAAAAAAAATACCGGAGGCATTCTTTGTAAAATAAAATAACGATAAGCCACGTGTCCAATTGCTCCGTTTCTCCGTGAGAATTGCTCTCCGACTCAGCTGGAGGCGTCGTTCACCGCTTGTACACGTGGCAATTCAATTTTTTTGTTTCGCGGTGTTGGGTGGTGGAGGGCCTTACGACACAGAATTGACCGTCTTCATTAAGTTGACATACCCGAAAAAACAAATCTACTCTGATTTAATTCGGCCGTCGGTCGTAGATCGCGAAATTCAACTCTGAAATGGTTGCAGCAGCACCACCACCTAGTGTTGATGAGCGGTAGTTGTAGTAATGTTAGAAGTAGCTCTGTGATGTCAACTTCCACGGACCACGTTTTTCAAGCACGTGTATATTATGTTCAACCAGGGTGAGAACAAAAGAGCCGAGTTCCTGAAGAATTGTCATTTGGGTCATATCTGGTCTTATTTCCCCCTACTCCACCCCCTCCCCACACCCCCCCACCCTATTCCACCACCCCCCCCCCCCTACTCCACCCCTCCCCACACCATTCCACCACCCCCCACCCTATTCCACCACCCTACCCCCCCTACTCCAAGCCCCCCCCACCCCCCCCGAGTACCGAACAACTTCGTACATTACACGCTTTCATTTAACTCAGTCTGTTGTTGTTGAATCCTCAAATCTTGTAACTCAATTTTAACCCACTTCCCAATGTGGTATCGACTGCCAACTTTGTATACTTATGTCATACTGATAACAATACTATATTATATCATATAAAAAAAATTAAACATTCTTTTGTATATGTTATGTTTCGGCTTGGGTCTAATTATCCACGCTCAACTGACGTTGGCTGTAATTGGCCACGGTCCCCTTACGTTGTGGCAAGCTTCGGGGCCACTTCCTGGAGTCGTGGAGTTCTGCCATTACTAGTACGGTACATTTCATGAAAGCGTGTTTTTTTTTTAAATATTACTTATTCTGTGAACCGCCCCAATTCCGATGCCCTACGGGAGTTTACGCGAAGGCGATGCGAACATTGCCCAAGTCGGCCAATATCAACGTCCACACGCGCACACGTGGACAACTCAACAACAACAACAATCACAACCGCCGCCCGCCACCACGGCGATCGTGCCATGCTCGGTGCACTTTTAGTCCACGTGAAGCGGGCCGAGGTCCGCTGTACGTCCGTTGAACATAGTTGGCAACCGTCTGAATCGGAGGTGTCGTGGGAAGAACACACAAACTGAAACACAAAAAGCATACTCTTCTTTGGTTCTATTCGGTAAATTCTAGATTTAAAGCTTTCGTGACTGCTAGGATCCATACTCTTTGGTTCTATTGGGTAAAGTCACGAAGGTAAAAAAATAAAACAAAAATCACGACGTTGCGGCCACAACACAATAACAGCCAACCTGATGAAGGCCACTTGTGTTGTGGCCGAAACGTCGTGATTTTTGTTGTTTTATTTTTTACCTACGTGTCTTTACCGAATAGAACCAAAGAGTATGGATCCTTGCAGTCAAGAAAGCTTCAAATCTAGAACACAAAAAGCAGTTCTAAAGAAATGAGTTTGTCGATCTCGATTTTAAAATTGCATAGCTCCGGTGGCTTCCTCATATCGGAAGAGCGTTCCAGACGGTCGCAGAAGCGCAACTAAAAGCGCCGTGCGATGCAGTGACCGTCTTCGATGGCTCGCCAAATGCCGCGAGGTCACGGAACAGACCCAGGTGCCACGGGGAGACTGACTGAGATGCACCAGCTGTGCTTCCCCACACGTGCAAACTTTCTGCGTTTTAGCCGCCCGGCGCTCCGCTCGTTGTTGTGAGCGTCGCTCCTCTGCCCTCAGTTGGTGCTGGAGGGCGACTGCCTCCGTGTTGTGCTGTCACACAAACAGAGATCCCCCGTGTAGCCTTTAACAGACTGTTGGGGCAAGTGCTGTTAGCGAGCACCTGTGAGGGCCGGCACGGCACTCGAGGGGGGTGGGTGGCCAGCACCACGCCCGGCCACCTTTGTCTCCCCAGTGGCGATGTTTACTCCACACCATACCAAGTACTCATTTGAGGCCGAGTCGACCTAGGGGAGGGCCCCGTGACCGCTTGAGATAATCGTCAAGATTTGACCGCGAGCGGGAATCGAACTCGGGTCACCGGGTTCGTAGCGCAGCGCACCAACCGATGCACCACCGCTCCCTACGTGCGCTCACACACACGCGCGCACGCTGGACGCGAAACGTCGCGAAGGAGAGAGAGAGGGGGGGGGCAGTGCTGGCTATGGTTATCCCCAAACAACAGCCCCCTATTTAAAAAAAAAATTCTCGGGCCGTAAAAAAAAAAACACTTACATCGATACACGCCCAAATCGCGTACAAATACTCTCCCCCCCACACACTGAAACCCACTGTTCACAAATAGCCAAATCAGAAAGCCTTTTTAATACTGTTAAGCAAGCAATTATCAAGGCCGGCATGGCACACGCTTCACACACGCGCACGGATAAATTACACTTAACGGCATCGCCAAGCAAGGCAAACGAACTCTCAACACGTTCGCAAAAATAAATGCGTGCAAAGATAACACTTGCATCACTTTATCAAACATTCGCGAGCATTAATAACGTAAATATACAACTTCAGCCCGGCTGAATGCACGGAGGGACGACGTCACGGCGGCCATGCTGTGCAGGGGGACTCGGCGTTGTGCAACAGCGGCAGGCCATGTTGGGTCAGGGGTCGTTTTCCCGGCAGCCGATTGGCCGGCGGAGCGGGACGCGCAACGGGATTGCAAATCGCGATGCCCGGTGGGACTGAACGCAGAGCTCCTATCATCACGCACGGCGGCGATGAAGTAGAGAGCCATCGGAGC